TAATCTGGTATTAAATGGTAAATGGTATAATCTACAACCTACAATAGGTATATGTGTATTTCTGATCAGTTGAGATAAAAAATACTATCATGTAATAAAAATACCCTGCCGCAGCAAACCTGCAGACTAACCAAATTACCATTTGCCTGATTAGATGTTCACTAAAATATCTCCATTGAAATTTCATATCTATTTAACGAACATTCAATGAGATGATACCAGCTCGTTAATTTGCGTATTTTAATTGAAAATAAAACATATAGGATTGAAAACCAAAACAATAAATTGGAAACCTATTTCTGTACAAAAATGGAGTCAATAGTTTCCTAGTCAATATTATTTTTTTTTTTAGGAAAACAGTAATATTAAATTACCTAATACAAGAGGAGCCCGCTCTCCGCGTTCCTCTCTCCGCGCTCTGCTTACACGCCTAGCCGCTCTCCGTCCTCCGCCCCTGCTCTCTGTCCTCCGCTTTCCGCGCTCCTCTTCCGCGTCCAGAAAAACCTAGATTTAACAATTATTTTCCAAGTACAGTATGATCATGAAATAGTTAATAATTTGAACGTTTACAAGCCAACAATCAAAATTAGCTGGTTTTATAAACAAAGTTTAACACCCAGCTGATTAGATGCCAGCTGATTAAAAGATAACAAATAAAATAACAGATACTGTATTACATTTGGTTCAATGTTTAGATTCCCAAAACTCTGACCTTGGTGCAGTTTTGGCCTAATTTTTCGAACTTTTAATACAGCAATAAATTGGTTACATAATTTTAAATGACATGAAATGCGAAAGTTTTTTACGTAATTTGACGAAACATCACATTAGTGTTAATAGTTGTAACAGCGCTTTTAAGTTGTAAAGAAGTAATTTACAAACTTCTTTATTTATGTTATGTGAGACATACAACGGTGAAAATATGGTTGTATGTTAAAGGTGTTGCAATGATTTTGTAGTAAATTTAACGCTCTCTTCATTGGTATAGGTTATAATTATGTACGTGTATTGGTTTGATTTATATGCTCGTTTAAGTGAAGCTACTACAGGTAATTAAAAAAATTCACATAATCGGCCATTACAACTTAACAGGTGGGACTGAAAAATTTTTGTTTGACATTTTTTGTTCGTTTTAGTGAGTAGAATAACTGGTAAAAATTAACGCACTTAGTAGAAACTCGCCCTGTATATATATATACATTTTAAGGTCTTATTTTGAACGCTAATTGCGATAAAAATACGCAATTTAAATAGTTATATGTCACTTCTACTTCGGGTAACAGCCATTTTCAGATTTTCCAAATATGTTTAACATTGCCTAATAAAATATCTTATTTTCCAACTTTGAGGCTACATAATGATATTTTCAATGAAATTTTGTGCATATTCATTACATTTTATATATGAAAATGTATAGTATGGTACAGCTAAACCCATTTAAAAGTTTGTAAATTTAACTTAAATAACAAATTTTTAAAAATCAATAAAGAGGACGCTACATCTCTCTTAAGAATTTTTTTTATAAAGTCGTGTTAAAAACTGTTTAATAGTATAAATACCCCCACCGCAGCAAACCTGTAGACTAAGCGAATTTCTATTTGCCTAATTGGATTTACACTAAAATGCCTCCTTCACATTTATTCCCTATTTAAATAGAACTAGTGCACCTGTTGATCGAATTCGAGCAATTACAAAGTATTACAGGTGTTATTTCGAAATGAACAACAGTCATAATTTCCGATGAAAGAGTTAACTCAAAGATAATGTAATAAATCACTCCACTCCAGTTATTGAAACTGAAAACGAACTCACTCTGAAAACGAAAGCTCTTGTGGGTATCATGTGTTTACTATGAACAGCTGTAATTAATACAAATTAATCGTCTTTTTAAGTAAACGAAATCTTTTCTTCATAAGAAATACATTGGGATTTTGATAGCCTGTGGGGTGAAGCCCGACGATTTTTATTACAGAAATTGGTGATGTGCACACACAAAAAACTTATTTTGACACATCGTTTGTAAAATTCCGTCCATTATTAACGGAGAAGTAGTGTTTCGTAGAAATCACCTTCACGTATTATATATAAGGATTAGTTTAATGAGTACTTAGGTTTGCTGCAACAGGGGGGAATGATTTTTTCATCGTAAATCTTAATAGTTTAGTAAGAAATGAATGTATTTTCAAAATTCATCAAAATATGTTCATAAACAAGCAAACTATAACAGTTGACTTATTCTCCATAAGAATAACATGGAAATTTTAAATTTACAATTTTTTGGAATTTTCTCCAAAACCATTAGGTGCACAATAACGCCTCAATATACTAAATTATTTGTTTTTAAGCTCTACAAAATGGTTTGGAAATGAATTGTTACATTTTTTGTTTTTAGGTTCAAAAATTTGAAAAACCTATTTTTTACTTCATAAAACCCCTATAAACCCCAGTTCCCATAGTCCGATCATACTGGTTCGCGAACTCATTCAAATAAATGTAGGTTTACATGTTTATACCAAATTTCATCAAAATCGGATCATTTTGCTCGAGTTATTGTGATAAAGGACACACACATAATATAATTATATATTATATTAATTTGAACGGATGGTGTTTTTGGCCTCTAAAGGGGCCTCAAAACAAAGAAGTAAATCCGTCCCGGGTCCAGGTCTTACCATGAGTACTACGGTAATAGCTTATTTGCTATATGGGAAATTCTCTAAAAACATCTCCACATTTTAATCTTTAAAATGATATGCATTATGTTACACGTTATGTCAGCCTAAGGGGAGAAATATTGCGTTAAAAATAAAATTAATCATTCTTTCATTAACTGCACTCATTAATTACATTTAGTAAAAGATGTGTGCAAAAGGTATCTGTATAATTAAGAACTCCAGAAGTAAACTTATAAACTCTAATATTTTAGTACATATTGAATACCATAGTACATAGTCAAATGGCTTTAAATTATTGAATACCAGGTTAGTATAGAGTATTTTATAAATGCACAAGTCAGAAGTAATTACAATAATAAATAATAATTATTATATTTGCAATTTAAGTTATTTTAAGAATAAATTTTGAAATGCAAGGTAATTTTATTTTATTTAATTGAAAACAAACATATACATGGAAAAGCTGCACCTTAAGAATTTTAAATATATGGTTAAACTACCTGACTGCGTGTTCTTTAGTTTTCTTTATTGCTGCAATTGTAATCTTAAAGGAAAGGGTTCCTTTCAACTTTTGTACAACTACTGTCAACTATACAGCTTTCTCATTTCTTCATCACCGTAAACATCTAGTATACACTTCACTATTAAGGATTGTCTAAACAATGAACAACATATTAGGTAGGCATATTATCAGGGAATCTGGCTGCCCATGCAAAGGGTCTGCCTCCACCAAAAAATCCAGATAACTATAAGTCTCTTACCTCATTAGTGTAATGAAGAGGAGTTTGAAATTGTATACTTTATATTTAAGCGTGACCAAAATCTAAGTGATCCAAGACTGCAGGTAGGGTGTGCTGCTCAAACCTAGATAGGTTTGTCGATTAAGTTTGTCGAATAAATATATGCCCCATTAAATAAATTGTTTGTAAAATAATATGCTTGGGCAGTATATGCATCAATAACATGCATCATGCCTAACCTGTATTAGAGATTCTTAAGGTACAGCTTATTCATGATTTTTGAATGTTTCCAATAGAAAATGTATAAGATCTACCTTGTATTTGAACAAATTTTCGGTAAAAATAATCTAAATTACATATGATCAGCATCTTCATAATCATAACTAACGTGTGTATTTACTATGTACTTTTAAGTGGCATTCAAAGCACTACAACTAGTTTGGGCTTATAAAGTCAATGGCTGTACTATACTACAGTATTAAGTTTACTTGGGGTATACTTATACAGATACCGTTTGCACACAACTTTCACTAAATGCGTTCTTGTGCAGTTAATAAAAGAATTATTACTTTTATGTTTAACGCAATATTTATTCCCTTAGGATGATATAACGTGTCACATGTTGCATATCATTTTAAAGCTTAAAATGTGGATATGTTTTTTATACTAGTTTACAGTTTTTAACACGACTTTATAAAAACAAATTCTTAAGAGAGTTGTAGCACCCTTTTAATGATTTTCAAAATTTTTAACGAAAAATCCAAAATTTCATTGAAAATATCATTATGTAGGCTAAAAGTTGATAAATATAAGATTTTATTAGGCAATATCAAGAAATTTGGAAAAATCTAAAAACGGCTGTTACCGGAAGTAGAAGTGAGATATAACTATCCAAATTGCGTATTTTTATCGCAATTTGCGTGCATAATAATACCTTAAAATATTTGACACTAACTATATTTTATATATATGAATTTAATCGGATGGTATTTTTACCTCAATCGAAAAAAGTTAACCGGTCTCGGATCCAGGTCTTGCCATGAGACCTATGGCAATAGCTTATTCCCTAAATTGTAAACTTACATGTAACAAAATTGTTTTTCTCCAAAATAGAATTTGCGAAGGTATTTTTTTCACACAACCCCATACATAAGTCAAAGATGTACGAGACAGCAAGAATATAATTGATAAGCCGAAATAACTCCGTGTTTTTTTGTAACTGTGAGATATTCCTTCATCGAAAAATAAATAAAACCATTATAGAATTCTCTAGAAGTTAACAGGGACATGTCAATAGGTGATTTTACTTTTTAGTTAAAATGGAAATGCTGTAAGAGACAAGCGCAAGAGTGAGAAGAGACTGGCCCAAAAACCCACTTTGCCTTCTGTCAAACATATATTCAGCCTGTCAGCGTTTACGACAAACTACAACAATAAAACTACGAGCGCTTCACTAGCCGCGGTAAAAGCGCCATTAATAAAACCTAACAATGGTGGTCATGGACAACAATGGTAAGCGCGCGCAGCTCGCCTGATGCTGCTATCTAGCGTCGAACGGCACAAACATTCAGTCCGTGAACACATCTTCGTGCGTCGACACTACGTCTGTTCCCCTCTGTCTTTCCCCCTTTTCCCCCACTTTTCCTCCGTATTCCACGCACGTTATTTATTGTTTCGATTGTTTCGCGTTTCATCTTCGGACAGTGAAACAAAATAGTGTACAATTTTACTTCGCTTTAAACATTGTTGACACTCGAAATATTTGTTTGGTAGTTAGTTACTTTCCGGCCCCTCTCTAGTCTACAACCAAAACTTAATGTAACTTTTTTTTAGTTAAGGATTAGATAGATAAGTAAATAGTTAACAGTTTTTGCTAGTGTTTGGGTGTTTTCCCGTGTGATGCAGTCGTTTTGTGAGTTTTGTACAATTACACAACTTTGACTTTCCCGCTAATGTGTTTGTAAGCTGTATGCCCGCTCGATCCAAGAAAGCTTGATGGGAGGTGCTGTGCTTTTGGAAAAGTGTTTCTTTTGGATGATCTTAGTTGGAAATGTCTTCTTTAGTGGAGTTTTCGCCGATGGCCAACAGAGGGAGAAGAAAGCAAGCGAAACCTCAACGGAAAAACGGTGAGAATTTGAAACTTGTCACAAACACTTATTGATGGACATAATGTTCGCCAATACTGTCGTATATTATCCAGTACCAAACTACTTCTCACTTTTATCAGGCAGAGTGGATCCGGCCAACAAGATTTGTTGTTTTCTTGTTTAAAGGCCAGATCTTCGAGTCGACTCATGATGCCAACATAATACTCAATGTTTTAATTTGTTAGCTATAGTTTTTTTCAAATTTACGTCCGTAGTTTTGTAAATCAGTCATACCCCCGCTAAACAACAAAACAAACGCCAAACCCGACAACAATCGTTTTTTGTAAAAATAAGTGCGCAATAGTTACTATAATAAGCAATATTGTTTTGATAAAAACATTTATGAAAGTTAAAATAGGTTTGTTTTCCATATTAACAACTATTACAATGTATATTGTCGTAAGTTATGGTAACTTCCTCTCCTGGGTGGACCGTGTGTTGAGGTTAAGATCACTTGAATGCGCATTGTTAACATTAAAGTTCATCCAGTGCAAAACTAAATTTAAACATAGAAAATATACAAGTAAATCAATAACTCAAACTACACAAGCCTCAGAACTATAACGAAAGAAAATGTAACTTAAAATCAAAAGGGAACGTAGTGCAATGTTTATATTAAGGTCCGACCGGCTTAAATGGTCGATTCAGCTAAATGTTAAACTTACAGTACTGTATTTTGTGTCCTGTATGCATACAATCCTACTAGTAAACAGTATTGCAGAATCTAGATACCTAGATTCTGACTAGGTTCTGTTCATTACTTGTATGAACAGAACAATGTCTTCTTTACACATACATCCTTTGTCGAAGTGTTTTTTTTATCGAATATCATTTTCATAGATGATATTTAAATAAATTCATGAAGGGTGTTAATTATGTCACAGAATAGAATATATTTGATATGCCGTTGATATAATGCCTACTACTAGCTCGACGTGGAAATGTTCGGTTGTAAGCTTGGTCGAATCGACACCTGTGCGCTACTTACTAAAGTTTACAAGTGATTTGTAGTTTTTAGTTTTTGCAGACATTGATTACAACTAATACTATGTTATTTTTTCATACTACACTTACACTACATTGGATATTGAAAAACTATAGGCTACCGGTACCAACAATTTAAAATACAATACAAAATGTATAAAATTTGGTGACTATTTGGGACTAAACTGGTAAATTAAAATAAACAAGATAAATTAAACCAATTATTAGAACAGTGCAAAAGTGATAAATAACACTAATTTAGGAGCGCAAATTCAGTATTTCAATTTATTATTTTTTGATTGACCTAGTTATTAGTTTTTGATATTTGATAGTTGTAGTTGTAAATAATTGTGAAAATAATCATACTTTGTTCAGATAACAAATTATGCTAGTACATGTTTAAACTCAGGGTATGCAACTGGGACTATAAGGCATATGTCTTATAGATATTCAAACAAGTGCATTTTAATATCTTAACTAATTTTATAACTATGTATAATTTGTATGACTTATTTTTTTAAATTTTAAATAATTTCAATAAATACCTAAATACTGAATTTAGTGCCTCTTATTTTTTGTGCATTATTAATTATTATTTCATGATAAAGTTGTTTAGTTCTGTTATGTTGGTACAATTATCTACGCACCCGTGATAATGTTTTCATAAATTAACACAAATATACGCAGGGGAATTTAATTCTTGGTCATCTTTGATTTAAATGAAATGCTGTCTCTATGATGTTTAACCTCACACATATTCGGTTGTGTTAGATTAGGTTCTGCTAGGTTTTAGATTTTTCCATCGATAGCAGTAGACAACCCATCAAAGTTAAAGCTAAAGTTGTCGTCAGTTTTGAATTAAAAATGGACATAGTTGAAGTGAGCTACCGACAGATTGTGATGATGTAAATTACTGCTTTCTGGTGGATGTGAAGGCTTTTAACCAAGTCAAATGTATTACAAGCTATAGCATCTGTCATGTATTTTTAAGTAAAGGCACTATACGTATTCGGTCAAAAATACGAATTTAATACGAATTTATTATGGCTAACAGGTTAACGTTATCATGTCTTTATGAGCGATTACCAATAAAAATGGGTACTGTATAGTTAAGCAAGTAAAAAGTCAACTTATTAAATACTTTTTATTGGAAAATTTAATTGTGTTTAACAAGTGATTAAATATGGTATGAATGTTAAGTAAGATGACCAAATTTGTATATATGTACAAAATTATTTATGTATGTACGAGATTCCTGATCGTTGGTACTAAACACTTATTGAGATGTACATAAAGTTAAAAATCGCAATAACATTATGGGTTATTTTATAAAAGTGTATTGATTTTATATCTTCATCACAATTACCACATAGGGATGCTACTAAGGCGTTCTTTTACTCAAATAAAAATAAAATATGAGTGAGATGTGTTATGTGCTTTTTTTCTGAATAAAATCTGATATTTCTTTAACCAAGACTATTTATTAAAAGTGCGGACAGCTGCGGCAAGTTTTAGCGAATTTCCCATATAGGGAATAAGCTATTACCGTAGTACTCATGGTAAGTCCTGGACGCGGGACCGATTTTTTTTTCGTTTCGAGGTCCCTAGAGGCCAAAAACACCATCCGTTCAAATTCATATATATATATGTGTCCGTTAGCACGATAACTCGAGCAAAAATGATCCGATTTTGATGAAATTCGGTACAAACGTGTAAACCTACGTTTATTCGAACGAGTTCGCGATCCAGCATGATCGGACCATGGGAACGGGGGTTTACAGGGGCAAAGTTTTATGGGGTAAAAATAGGTTTTTCGCATTTTTGACCCAAAAAACATAAAATTTAGCAATTTCTTTCCAAACCATTTTGTAGAGCTTAAAAAAACAAATAATTTAGTATATTGAAGCGTTATTATGCGCCTAATGGTTACGGAGAAAATTCCATGTTATTCTTATGGAGAATAAGTAAACTGTTGTAGTTTGCTTGTTTATGAACATATTTTGATCAAATTTGAAAAATGTTTTTATTTCTTACTAACTATTAACATAAAAAAAACAGTTTTACCTCCCTGATGCAGCAAACCTAAGTACTTGTTAAACTAATTCTATTTAAATCGGGAATAAATGTTATGTTTTTAAGTAGACATTTCAGTGTAAATCAAATGGAAATTCGCTTAGTCTGCAGGTTTGCTGCGGCGGGGGTATTATTTCAAAATGCAATTGACTGTCCTCAAAACCGCTTCGGCGACCTTCTGATCACTCGAGCACTACAACTTTAGAAATGCACTTTTGATTGGATTATTTTTAGTGATTATAAGCGTTCTTTATTTAAACAAAATATTTCTTGCAACAGTTCTCACATAACACCATAAACCAGTCGGCTTACAGTATCGCTTTAATTCTAGATGTTTGGTAGGAACAAGTTATTCCCAACTCTCAATATTTGTTACTGAATGAAACGCTGTGATTCAACTAATGCATTGTTGTAAATATACTTGCTGCAACTAATTTGTACATCCTGATTTGCACGAAGCGTATTGTACCAATTACTGTACCATAGTTTACCTCTGTGGTAAATGGAAGAAATGTATTCTGATCCTCAAAACTTAAACCTCCTACGACTATGTTTTCATAGTAACTATTCTTGCTTAACCGATAGCATACAGACTATAACAACACCTCCATGACGATCATCACAAGTACTGACGTTTGCGAATCTTAAGGAATCTTTTAGTTAAAAATCTCATATTGTGTAAACGATCATAACTATTCAAATGTTTTGCACAAATCTTGTAGAAATAAGATCACACAATAAATTATGACGTGTAAAATCTCTTACAGTCGTCCTTCCTACCGCATAGATAATCTACCGAACAGTCGGTCTTTTCCTCCTCCCACATCCCCCCTTGGGACAAAAGGTAGGGCAGGAGCTAGGGGAGCGGAAGGGGGAACGGTAGTTAAAAACGACACGACTACAATGAAACGCAAGTGTAAACAGGGTGTGCGGGACTACGGGCGACGGACGACGGCCGACGGGTGATGGGTGATCGATAATAGAGAGCGGAGCGAGCGAAACAAGAACACATGTTAAAGATGGCCGCCACCACATGTCTCAGACCTTGGGCTAGTGATGTCTCGTACGTTCAGCTACATATACGGCTAAACAGAAGCGGAGCACTAACACACCTGTCGTATAAGGGATGAGAGTGATCCACAGATAAAGGGTCTTTCCCGGGAAGTGATGATAGGAGTGCAAAGCAAGAAATTCAATGTTTTAAAATTTAGTTGAAGAATCAAACTAGCCTACAATCATAAGGTTTTTTACCGTGTCAAAAACAACTTACATAAAGTAATTTGGTACAACCAATACAGTATCAACAATCAATGGACTAAACGTCTTGTATGCCTTAAAAGGTATACTTGCAACACAGTTCTAAACCTATTAACAGATACATTATAAACACTTATTAAAAATATTTACACTGAAACATTCAAACTAATTTTGTGTAAGGCTTAGCCCCCTAAAATTCTCCGTTAGATCCTACTTGTTTTTTTTTTTAATAGTGAATGTGACTATAACTTTTAACATGAAACAGATGGAGATCATCTTTGACTACACAAACAAATATAGAGATATAAACTTTAACAACAAAGAGAATTTCTTCTGATATGAAGAAAGGTTTGAGCCTTAGACCAAGATTTACAAATTACACGTACAAACTTATTGTCATCTCAAAACCCTTTTATGGCTATTACCCCGGAGGTTAATCCCATGTAGTTTTATCCTGCGAAATAGTATATTACGTTACTAGTCCTGAAAATAAGTGTTTACCGGACGAGTGTGGTCGTTCCCGTGAGAGACGAAGTCGAGTACGGGATTACCATACGAGTCCGGTACACACATTTTGGACGAGTTCGTACGATAGTTTACGCCATACTACTAAATATGTACAACTCCTTATATATTTCCACCAATTAAAGGACTAAAAATCACTA